GTCTCTCATGAATAAATAAATAAAATCTTTAAAAAAAAAATTACATGATTTCCTTATTCCAGGACTCAGAAACCAATACATTTTTTTAAATTAATTCATTAGTTAATTAATTAATATAAGAGAGAGAGAATCTCAAGCAGACTCCCAGCTGGACACAGAGCCAGATGCAGGGCTCAATCTCATGATCCTGAGATCATGACCTGAGCCGAAATCAAGAGTCAGACACTTAACTGACTCAGCCACCCAGGTGCCCCTTCCAACACCTTTTTTTTTGGTTTAAAAGGCTTTAGGCATGGGGTTGCATTTTACCCTTGCATAAAACCACTTGATTCAGTTCAGTTTGACAAATGTGTATTTGTTCTAGATATTGGATTGGGCATTGGAGATTCAACAGGGAATAAGATCCAGCTTCTGACTTCAATGAGTTACAGTCTTTTGGAAAAGACCTAAACCCAACTTCAACATATAGCAGGTGTTAATAATTATAATATTTCTCAGAACTTTATGTATATCAACTCATGTAATTCTTGCATAACCTGCTATAATCTTGGTATTACTATAATTATCTTTATTCTACAGATGATAAAGCTGAGGCACAGGAGAGTTAAGTGACTTGCCCAAGGTTACACAGCTAATTACACAGGTAAAGCACAGGATGTTCTAGGAGCTCAAGTAAGAGTCTTTATCCCAACCTTGGGGATCAGGGAAACTTCCTGTAGGAGGATACCTGATCCAAATCTTGAGGAATGTGGGAGAGAACCAGCTTGGAGAATTCTTCACAAGGGGTACAGGATGCATACAATGTGGGTTTATAAAAGGAATTTGCTAGCTTTCCTGCCCCACCTGGGTTTTACAGGTTTTAAAGCTCATGATCATTGATTTAATCAATCACTAAGACACAGGCTCGGGCTCAGAGAAGTAGCAATGGAATGGTGGAAAAGGCTTGGGATTATTACCTCCACCTGACAAATTAATAATCCCCATTTTGCTGAAGCCCAAAGAGTAGGTGAATTGTCTAAAGTCGTATGGTTAGTAAATGGAGGAGAGAGGATTTAAACCCAGGCCACTTGGCTCCAGAATCCATGCAATAAACCACCCTCCTTCACCTGAACCCCATTAGGCTTTGTTCAGTGGACAAGAACGTCCCAGACTTCCAACTCATGTCAAAATAAGCCTGTGGGAAAAGGTCAAGGGAAGGCCATCTTCTGGAACTCTGACAGTTCCTGACTCTGTAAGTCAGCCTTAGGCTCCTACACATTTTGTTAAGTACTAAGCTATCACGCTCAGCCTTGGCAGAGATGCCATAGTAATTTCTGCTTCTGCAGTAGTTCCCTGCCACTAGGAACACTGATATGCCATCATAGATACAAGAATGGTTACACTTATGGCCTATGTTATAGAACCAGATGATTAACTTTCTTTTAGATTTATCTTCGTTGTGGTTTTCCTGAGAACAAAATTATGATTTTGTGGTCTGCAGAGCAGATGGTGAGCAACACAGCAGACTGCAAGCTCCTGGACTATAGAGCTCTGTCTTACTCATCTCTGAGGCCCAGTCTCATCTCTGTACCTGAACCAGCACCTGGCCATGGTGGGTGGACAATATCTGAAGACAGTCATAGTGAAAGAGATTTGCTGTGGCCTGAATGTTTGTGTCCCTTCCCAAATTCTAACTCCCAAAGATGATGGTAATAGGAAGAGAGGCCTTTGGGAAGTGTTTAAGTCATGAGGGTGGGGGCTTCATGAATGGGATTACTGCCTTATAATAAAAGGGTCCAGAGAGATCTCTAGCCCTTTCCACCGAGTGAGGAGTCTATTTCTACCAGTTATGATCCAGGAAGTGGGCCCTCACCAGAACGTGACTATGCTGGTACCTTAATCTTAGACTTCCCAGCCTCCGGAATTGTGAGAAATAAATTCCTGTTGTTTTTAAGCTGCCCAGTCTGTGGTGCTTTATCATAGCAGCCTGAACGGACTGACAAAAGCCTTAGCTCCAAGCATGACTCTCTCTTCAGGAGCGATAGCTCTCCACTCAAATTGCACCTGGGGAAAATTTTTAAAATCTGGTCCCCAGGGCTCTTGGGAATTCAAACAGAATCTAGGGGACCCAAACATTAATATTTTTAAAAAAAATTTATTCTCCAGGTGATTCTTATTTGCAGCAAGGATTAAAAAACATTTCCCTGTAGAAAACATACCTGCACATATTTATAAATATTTATAGCTGTAGACTTTATAAAAGTCACACCTGTGACTATGCTAACCAATTCACTTTGTCACTTAATCTGTAAGAGCTCAGGGATGGGGGTGGAATCAGAAATCAGGGATGGTAGGTAGCTAAGTGCCGTAAACATCAGCTCTACAACCGGCAGGCAGACTGGTTCCGCAATGTTGGCTCATCTTGTCTTTGTAAAGAAATTCAGGAAATTTAGTTTCTTGAGTGGAATTCTTCTAGAGCAGACCCACTTACTAGTTCACAAACATTTCCCTGTGGTTAAAATATTACATTACCTGCTGATTCTTGTTTGTGGCCTTTCACCACACACACACACACACACACACACACACACACACACACACACTTCTTAGGATAACATTTTTTATTTTATTTTTTTAAGATTTTATTTATTTATTTGACAGAGAAAGACACAGCGAGAGAGGGAACACAAGCAGGGGGAGTGGGAGAGGGAGAGGCAGGCTTCCCGTGAAACAGGGAGCCCAATGCGGGACTTGATCCCAGGACCCTGGGATCATAACCTGAGCAGAAGGCAGACGCTTAATGACTGAGCTACCTAGGCGCCCCAGGATAACATTTTTTAAAGCTGATTTTAAAACTTCAACAGAGCATTTAAGTATTCTGCCTATGAAATTTATAAAGCTCTTTCCAGAAAGAAAAGCATAACCATATGACCAATAGGAGACTCCATGAATCATCGAAAAGACCATGAACCAGTGCTCTGCCAATGGTGCTTGAAGATGACTCTTTGGACCTCAGATTCTTCATGTGTCAACTGAATCAGTGGGACCATTTGACTACATGAAGCTAATGTTCTGTGATGCTATGATTCATTTTTCTGGAGGACCCAGCCAAGTTGGAGATTCCCTTGGTTTATCTAGTGGATTAAACTTTTCAGATTCTTACAGTGGTTTTGTTTGCTTTTCTTTAACCACCTCCCGCATCACTGAGCTGTGAAACATGTGAAATGTTCCAAGCTAGGGGACTTTTTGGACACAGATTCTGAAACTTCAGTTGAGAGGTTGGCCAGGCAAAGTGGTTGGTTTTCTCTGTGGGGTAGGGTAGGAGAGAAGAGAAAGAAATATCTGCTTTTAATAGGTCAGAACTAACCACAAAATAATTGGGCCTACAGTCTAATCTAATCATGCTTTTGTTTATTCACTTCATATAAAAGTCTCTTACGAATGCATCTGAGCACAATATATAATAATAATAATACTATAACATACATTGTGAGAAACTTTTGAAAACAATAAAATGTCCACCTGAAATATGCAGGGTAAATAGACATACAAACCCATTGGTCATGCACATTGTGCCATTTCTTTAACTAGTGAGTTACAATGCTGAACTGAAAGCTTGGAATATATTTTACAAATGGGAGACGGAAGCCAATAAGAGGCCTAACAAGTGTTATCAGAAGCTTCACATTTGCATAATTTACTATATCAGTTCACATTTTATTATAAAATTCACATTGTTTTATTGTTTGGGGTTTTTTTTGTAATTAATTGGAACATGACATTCCTGCTTAACGGCTGGCAGGAGGCTTTTGCTTCAAAATCAATAGTTTGGGAACTTAGAAGAACCGTCTGTGAGCAAATGTAGTGTTGCTGTTTAAACCAAAGCCACGATGAGAGTAGAACCCAGTTATAACCCAACTCACGCGGACACAGATTTGGATAGAACATGGGTGAAAACTACATCCCTTTGCCCCCTACCCCTATCAAACTATACAAAAGTAAAAGCTCAGTATAAACCATTTAGTATCGAATGTGAGAATCCTATTTCCAAAACTGGTTCACAAAGGGGTTGTGCAGTATGAGCAACTCAGACAGGGAAGAGGGCAGACCTTCTGAATAAAAGCCCACAGATGTCCTCACCGGGGAGGGGGTCGTATGTCTCTCTTAAGCGATTTCCAGGTTATATAATACACCATACAAAATGTTACAAGAAAAGTCGCAACTCTTAGGCAGAGTTTTCTACACAAATGTAACACCACCATTGGCAGGCAATGTTAGATATATAAATTAATAACTTACAAAACATTACATTATATACATGAAGTAATAAATATACTGTTATAAACAGAAATGGAGGTGTTAGCGCAGAAGGCAGTTCAAGAGAAAGACGGCAGCATCAAATTGGAAACGGTGTGTCACTGGGTAGAGAACGAGGCGGGGAGGGGACAGGATGGGGTGTGTGTGCAGGGCCCAGTGGCTCAGGGCTACAGGACACAACATGGCGCACTGCCTCATCGAGCTGAATTTTACACAGACTGTTATTGGGAATGACATGACTACCCCTTCCTACCTCTTAGTTTGTTCACTTTTATTCTGTTTGCAGCACAAAAAGTGAAGTTCTAAGAGGAGAAAAAAAATACTGCTGTAAGCAGGCAGACAGAGATAAGTTATACGGGCAACTGTGAAGCTGGATGGGACCATAGGGGAAGGAAGTAGAATGTGGTTAGAAGCGTATCCTTTCTATTTGCAAAAGTAACTGTAGTAAAGTGAAAGATATTGCCCAAGAAAGAAGGAAGACCATTTTCTTTCCTTTTTTTTTCCCCAGAAAGAGTCAAAAAAGTTTATGTCAACTTTGAACGCTTATCTGTGTAGAAGTTGATACTAAACTCTAGGTATTCAACAGGCATTTTAAAGACGTGAAAATGTTTTACAAAAAAGGCACACAGGTTGGCAGACGAGGGGACAGGTGAGCAGGTTCATAAATGAAGTTATTAATCAGTCAGTTCAGTCACTAGGGGGGACAGATTCCCAAAACTTAGTGCAGAAAAAAATCTCTCAGTTTTGTGTCTTCCATTTTCAAGCCATTTACTCAGGATCTGACCTTGGCCTCCAGTACCAGATAAAGCTTCAGCTCTCCACTAAGCTTGCAAACAAGGCAAGTCAACCGTGGGATTTTCTGAACTGCCGTTTGCTTCATGGTCTCGCATTCTGGCTCCCAACTCAAGTAACTGGAAAGGCCACATGGCCCTTGTCCCGTGCAGGCCTACGCCCCCATGATGGGCTGGCCCTACTATTCAGCTGGCATGCTTGGTAAAGGTGGAATGTTCATCTCCACACGGAGAAGGCAATTATGTGTCAGTCGGGGACTTGTCTTCTGCCCCAGTGTCTCCATCAGTCTCTCCTAGCGAATCCCTATGGTCAGGGTCAATCACACAAAGTGTCTTTGTGCTGCTGAAATAATTGTGACCCTCTCCCTCTTTGTCAGGGCCTTCGGAATCCTCCTCTTCAAGGGTCAGTTCAAACTGAAACTTCTCCATCAGACCCTGACAATCTCTGTTCTGCTCGTCCAGCGGTGGGGAGGGACTCTGGGGTATCATGCTCTGATACCAGTTCCTGTTATCTTCTAATGTATCCAGAATGTCCTGGGCGTCAGGCTGCACCAGATCTGCCCAGGTCTCCCACAGTGGATGCACGATGTAGTCAATGAAACCAACCTGGAAAAAAATAAGGTTACATGTCGATTATTATGATGGGCTCTTGAAAACCAAACAAGTTGTTCTGGTTTCTAGGCAAAGAAAGAGGCACAACAAGCTAAGAGAGATCAATAATGATGGATTCCCCTATTTGAGCACATACTATACGGTACACCATGCCCTGGACGTAATATATACGTTATTGCTCTTACGTCCGCAAGGTAAGTATTGTTACCCACCCTTTACAAAGGAGGAAGCTAAGACTCATTGAGATGAAATATCTTGTCAGAGATCACAGAGCCGGTAAGTGGTAGAGCTGGGACTTGGACCCAGCTCCGTCTGATTCCCAAGCCTGTGTTTGTCTCACTATAACTGACTACTTTTCCTCTTCTGTGTGCCAGATAAGAAGTCTGGATGTAACTCTGGTTGGGGATGACTTTGTCACTACTTGGATTCTGTGAGTCATTCTCCGAAGAAGGAAGCTCCAGGTCTAATGAATTCTGACTCAAGATTCTTTCCCTGACAGATTTAAAATATGCTGCCATTCCAAAATGAAGAGGAGACAGCCCCTGATGACTCTGAAATTTCTCAAGTTCCGTGGAATGCTTTTGTTTGTAGACGACTTTGGTAAAACATCTGAATATACTTCCAGTGCCTAAACAAACAAATCTCCCCTCTGTGGACATGTCTGCAATTGTCTTAGATCCACAGGGTACGGTCACTTCCATCAGGAGAAAGGAGGGAAAATAAAAACAATTAAGCAGTTCCTTTGCTAGTGTTCCTGTGAATAAATACGAGGCTTATGGCTCTGTTATGGTTTACACAGGGGCTATGCATCCTGCATGAGCTGGCTCTGTGGCCTTATGCTGACCTCTCCATTGTCAGACAAACAGGAAACACTGGGGGTGGGGGCAGGTTGTGAAAAAGAATAGGCACTAGTTGAATGAGGGAATGGAATTCCCCTGTCCTGGTCTGGGGGACTGGAGAGATGCTGGGTCCGGATGCAGAGGTAAATGAGCAAGAGCAACGTATATGCATCCATGGGACATGATACAGCTCTCTTTCCACACTACTGGAAACCTTTCCTTTTTTTTTTTTTTAAGATTTTATTTATTTAATTAATTAACAGAGACAGAGAGACAGCGAGAGAGGGAATACAAGCAAGGGGAGTGGGAGAGGGAGAAGCAGGCTTCCCGCCAAGCAGGGAGCCCGATGTGGGGCTCGATCTCAGGACCCTGAGATCATGACCTGAGCTGAAGGCAGTCGCTTAACCAACTGAGCCACCCAGGCACCCCTGGAAACCTTTCCTTTAACAACATTCTGGTTTTTGGCAAATCATTTTTTTTTTTTTTGGCAAATCATTTAATACATCGAAGTTCATATGTGACTCTTTTATATCTGTATCTACCTGTATCTATATATTTATATCTATCATCTATCCATCTATCTATCACCTATCTATTGACCTATCTATCGTCTATCTTCTCCTCCCTGGTGCTTCCCTAGTCTTAACATAACTCACACCAAAGTCAGGGACATCTCTGATCTGCACTGGAACTTGACTGCAGATGATTCAGATATTTCTCTTGCTTCCACCCACTCCCTTTTCCTTCTTTATGTGTATTTAATGGATTTGAGAGACTATTTTCAAGGTGTTTTCCAGGGACCTGAAAAAACAAGCTCAAGGCAATGGAGAAAATGGAATGAGATGAACACCGTGCAATCATTTCCTTTCTTCATTTGCTTTGCTTCCGCTAAATGCTCAGAACTTTTTTGAACGGTAGCCTCTAGTTGCTTATTTGCTGGGCCCCGGGATGAGAGAGCTCTACAAATCCCAGCAGCACCTAGTCAAGGGCTTTATTGCCAGATGACTCAGACAATGCTTGCCAGAGCCCA